TTGGTGGCGCCGCCCTGCCGAACAGCTGGCGGGAAACTGCCGGCAGTTTCCCCCCGGCCCACCACAACAGCGCTACAGCGTTGCTGTGTAGTAGAGCCTGCAGCGGTGCCTGCAGGCACAGCAGCGAGCGCCATCGCCACCGCCACTGCCCCGCTACCTCGATCTAAGAAAAAAAACATTTTTTTTTTGTTCTTTCAAAATCAGATTCTGAAAAGAAAAATAAAACTAAAACTACAATTGCTAGATTCATGGATTAACATGATTAAATTAAATTTTAATTTAATCAATATATAGATCAATTCTTAACAAATACAAAGTTGGCTCTGATACCGCTGTAGGGAATTTACTTAAATATGCACAGCGGAATTAAACGAATTTCAATTCCCATTCAGGATTCAGCTTTGTATTTAGATAAAAACTGTGATAAGAATTATACATTTTCTTGATTTTGAAAACTCCTTCGTGTTATTCCATTCTAGCAACTTGAATCTTTCTCCTACAGTTATCCAATTGTCTAGCCTCCAATGAAATCCACACAGAGAATAGACTGCAATTGCTAGGGTTTTTCCTCTTGTACCAGCAAGAATAATGAAAACCTTATGGACCTCAAACCCTAACCATGTATTTATATAAACCCAAACGGGCTCGACCCGGTCCGATTCAATGTTTAATTAATCCATTTAATTAAACTCGATCCATGAATTAATTAATCCAATTAATTAATTCAGGAATATAAATAACAAATTAATTAATTAATTTATTCAACGATTGTTAAATTAATCAATTAGCAATTTGCAATCTTCCAATTCTCTTTTGTGTGCGACCCATTAGATTCCCGACCACGATGCCTAACGACGTGAAATATTATTTTAATCTAATCAAAACTGATAAATTAAACACTCTTTTAATTTATCACAAATTCACACTTGCCATCCCAGATTGACATCTAGTAATGTATCAGGGCAACACATGTGACGGGAAATGTCACGTGGTATGACAAAACCAAAACTGTTCGTTTACCATGAAATTATAATCCTTTCGTCAAGATGATCTGATCAACTACGAGATATGAAAGTGTGTCAATCTCGATTATCGATCATATCTTTCATTCTATTATTAAGTCAATATGAGTCGAAAACTCCTTTTCGACTTATATGTATACCTTGATCAAGGATTTCGTTATTGATTTAATTGAACGAAATGTATATCACAATCTCTTACTATTTAAGAGTGACGAATCATCTATTGGTCATTCACAACTTTCATATGGTTCTTGACATACTTGAACGATGTCGTATTAGCGGCCCTTGACAGAGCAACATTCAACACCGTCAAAATATAACTGTCCTCATACAAGCCATTATGATGACCTCAAGTTATATGATCAATTCCACTACCGAATGTTAGAGATTAACCACTGACACTCAGATAGTTATCCATGTGAAATCTCTTAGCGGGTCTCCAATGTTTTGTTCTATAACAAAACATCCACGTGTTCATTTAAGTGTCACCACACTTTAGCTCGTGAGATTAACTACTTACTTCATAAGTAAGAAATGCCACATGTGATGATCTAACTGTATTAACGATATCCGTATATCGTTATTACTTACGACCACGGTTTATTCAAGATCTAATTATATGTAATTTGTATCTCACAATCACAACTCCTTGTGATTAACAAATCACTTAAACTTGGATCTTCAGATTCTATTATTTAATATTATTTATCACAAAATTAATTGAAATAAATAATAGATCTCGCCAAAATTAAATGCATTAAACATATTAAAAGAGTTTACAACCTAAATCGATTGGATTTAGGGTATAACACTTACAATACCAACATTGCCACCAGTTCATATTCAAACTCCATAAGGATTCACATATAACATATAATCACGTTTATTCATACTCAAACATAATATGAATTGAAATAAACGGTGTCTAAGTCTACCTCCTTCAAAACAGGTGTTAAGATTTGAGCACCATGTGTTTCTCCTTTTCTTGAATTTTAATTCTTGAACGATTTGATCTATGTGTATAGATCTTTTGTTCTGTGTTATTTAAGGAAAAGAGATGAAATAATTATAAAAATGTGAGGGTAAAATTAAGCAGATATGTAGTATGGACGGTGGGACGGTGGGAGTCTTTAGTATGTATCCTAATAGCGTTGGACTTCGAAGAAAAATGGTTAATACTTAATGAAGTTCAAAAAAGTACTAATTGACTAACAAATTGTTTCAAGATGAGTTAATTTTCCAAATAGTCACTGAATTTTGCCAAAAGTTCCTAGGATTTCATTGAACTTCAAAGCTTTCCTAAGTAGTCATTGAATTTTTCCAAAAGTTTCTAGGAGGTCACCAAATTTCAAAATTTTCCTAAATAGTCACTAAACTTTGCAAAAAGTTCCTAGAGAGTTGACTTCTAGGAGGTCACCGAATATAGATGTTGCTAGTAAGTCTTTTTCAAATGCATAATTGCTCTAACTTTAACCATAATGCAAGCGGTTGACTTCTCTTCAAGACGTCACGAAAAATATTATTTGAAAGATAAAGATGTATTTGAGATAAGGCCTTTCAATCCCTCCTTTGTTTCTCCTCTGAAATACAAGTTGCGGACATCTTGTCAAATCTCAACAATACCTCGTCCAAATCCATTTGAAGGAGCACTGCTCCCTTCTTTAGTTACCACAAAGAGAATCTTGTATTGTGATCTAATAGAGAATATCGTACTTCATAATTGCCACCTTGAAAAATCAAATTGAGCTATTAACTTGATCAAAATCTTGATCTTCCCAGGAATTTCAAAATCAAACCTCTGATACCAATGTGTTGTGAAATGAAGATGATACCGGATTAATCCAGTGCCAATTTTATAAAAAATAAGAGATCCACATTATGAAGTAATTGATCACAAGAACACAAGAACAAAATAATTTATGGATAATGGAGATTTTGTTAAAATATGGAGAATAAATACAAAGATTCGTGTTTACAATTTTTCTAATCTCATTTAAATCATAATGAAGAGCCAATTATGTATAGGGAACAAATAGGGAATGTCAAAACTCTAATAGTAGAATTGTTGTTGAATTAGAATGCAAAAACGAGTCCAAAATGCAATAGGAGACAAACAGGATAACGGTGACCCTTTCGATGTCTTGGCGTCGGGTCCCTGTCTAAATATGAAGTTGCCGATGCCTAGAGTCTCCATCCCAAATATGATACAAAGATGTTTTCCTTCATTCCAAAGTCGTTTCTATGGACAACACAAATTCCAATTTTCAATTGGGCTTTCAAGTATAAATTCAACTAGAATTTGCTAGCGAAACTCAAATAGGGTTCTACAATAGCATTCCAAATTGAATTCCTCTTGACGTGCACTGTAATAAGAATTTTCGATTATCTTCAACAAAAAATTCGGCTTACACCTAACATAGTAAAATTAGAATTAGGAATTAGTTAGGAGTAAATGGTGTAATTAATTTGCACCCTTTTCTGAACCTCCCAATAAGGATCTCCTCTTTTGATGGACTTTTTGGACGACCTGTGGTGGAGATCTACGTGCAAAGGTTGGGGATACATTTGCTACGATATATACTTTAGCTTCAAAATCGGGACTGTTGATTTAATTTTCTCATAGCACGAGGAAATCAATGTAAGGAAACAAATAATTAATAAAAGGGTGATGCTACATGAACATCGGAGCATTCATAATGGTGTCCACTCTCTTACATGGGGGGATCCACTTTCAATAAAATGTAATTTGTCCGAAATGAGGTCCCCCTCCACGTGAGAGGGATGAACACTGTTATGAATACCGTAATATGTACAAATAGCATATTCTTTAATAAAAATTGATAAATGAGATAGAAATACCAGAATGAGTTATGAATGTAAGTGAAAGAGATGAATAATAGACAAGACAAAGATTGTGCACGGAAAATGGAGACAGCAAATCATGTAAAATCACAAGTTGTATGATATAGCAATCCTCTCCTAACTCTACCAGTCTATCTCTCTACAGGGCTACATAACAACTATACATACTCATAATCAATACAATTTCTGTACATTTACTTTAACTATTAGTTTCAAGCATCGATTGATATACTCTTTTTCACAATCTTGAGAAAGTCATGCTTTTTACGTCTAGGAAGTCATCCTCCTGATTACCGACTGAAAATGAGCTATTGTAGTACTTGAACCTCAAGATTCTGGAAAAATGTATATCAATTGATGCCATAAAAGATGTTTATCTTCTCAAGTACCATCTGTGATCTTTGCCGTAAGTTTATTTATTTCTTGGTGTTTCTTTTTATATTATCTTCCTCAATTGTTATTAATATTTACATTTTTCGGAATTTATTAAAGTGATTATAGGAAAGAATGATGAATGGAACACACGAGGGCACTGTTCCATACTTTGAAGAGAACAAGAGCCACAGAATTGAGTACTTGGATGATTAGCAATTTTGTCCTCGAAATATGAGGATAGTTAATGCACGATTAGTGATTGATTGAAATTGAACTTTTAATATAAATATCATTCTCTCTTTTGAATGTTTTTCAAAAGGTTAGACCTTGCAAGAGAAATTTATTTTGTGCAATAATTGTTTTCCTGGACTACGATGGACAATTTATTTTCTAAGGGGACCAATTGCTAGTCTTAAAGTGAAAAGTAAGAAAGGTCTAGGTGGGAATTACGTAGCTATTTCCTCATTCTTTTTCAAAGTAAATAAAGTTCAGGGGCCAATGGTCAAATTGTTTCAAAGACCCCTTTTATTTTCGCCGTCCTCATTCCGTCTATATATAAACGGCGGTATGTATATTTATACAAAGAGGCCATTTAACGAGCGGAACCGTTAGCATTCAATCAGATAAATGCATGAAAATGAAACTAAAAACCCCACAATTTGTACTCAGTGATTTCCATCTGAGTCGGTATATATATGAACGGCTGTATATATGTTTATACACATCTGAGTCGTAGTAATCCTCTCCTAACTCTGTGGGTCTTTCTCTCTCTACAGTCCACATAACGGCTGTATACACCCAATCAATACAATTCCCTTTCATTTACTTTTACTATTACTGCGAAGAACTAAAGGTAAGAAAGTTGTCATGGGCGCACAAGAACGCTCTGATTTCTCTGTCCAAGAAAATGTTCCGCTCGGTTACCGATTCAAACCGACAGACCTGGAGCTATTGTACTACTTGAATCTCAAGATTATGAACAAACCTCTATTGATCGATGCCATAAAAGACGTTGATCTCTACCAGTACCATCCTCACGATCTTTTCCGTAAGTTCCATTATTTCTTGATGTTTCTTGGTGGTTCTTGTTATATTTCTTCCTCAGTTATTAATAATATTTACAACGATATTAATGTGATGACTATCAGAAACCAGGATGAATGGAACAAAGGAAGGCTACTTTTTTACTTCTAGAACTAAGAAATATCCTAATGGCGGCCGGCCCGACCGAGCAGCGGCTGATGGTTACTGGAAAGCCAATGGAAGCAACGTCATTGTACGAAGCAATGGCCAAGATGTTGGACAGAAAAAGGTGCTCGTCTATTATGAAGGGAAATCTAAGAATAATAATGGAACAAAAACTAACTGGATGATGCATGAGTTTACGGTTCATCAAATGAAGGATGTTGCACGTTCTTCTACAAATGCAATTCCAGATGACAAGATGGTACGCCAAAAAAATAAAGAAAAAATTAAAAAAATAAAATAAAAAACCATATTCTTTTACCAATTAATTCTGTTCATATATTATCATTGTTAGGGGATAATTACTCGAAACCTTATAACCTTATTTATTTATTTATTTTTATCACTTTTTTTTAATCACTGGTTATATATGTTATTGTTGTTTGGAATGACTTGAATCGCACTAGAGCTTTTAATCAATAATTCTTGTTTTTGGTAATCAACCCTGGGGTTTTCTTTAACTATACAAAAATAGATTTGACATTTTTGTGATACGAATTTGTTATATATTTTTTTGCAGTTGGATATTTGTGTATGCAGAATTTACTATAAAACATCAAAAGCGAGAAAAAACAAAGGAAGAAGGCACACAAAGAAACAGCGTCATCCTTTGCAAGGTGATCATTTACCTGATGCAAATTAGGCAGCAGCGTCGTCTTATCAAAATCATGTGCCGGAACTTTGCAAGGTGATCATTTACCTTCTCCTCCAACGGAATGGCTTGATCTTTATGATCTCTTACCGTACTGGGTCCTCGTATATTGGATTTTCCTTTAAGTGACTCATCCAACAGGCAGTTTCAGCGGACTGGATTGAGAAAGTTTGAATGCCATCTTTGCTGTTTTTCTAGGAACTTCGTTGATTATGTAATGTTGAGGAAATATGAAATAACCGCAGCAAATTGTTTTCAAGTATTTTGATTGCCAATATTTTCCATAAAAAATATTTTTTTCCACTAAAATTCTTACTTTTCTACTGTTCGATTATCATTTTTTTCATAGAAAATATTTTCCTATTTTTTGCCACGTGACCATATTTTCCTCAAAATTAAGGAAAATATTTTATTTACGGAAAGTAGGATTTTATTTTCTAAAGAATTCACTTTCTCTTTTTCTCTTTTATCTATCCACTATCTCTCATCTACTCACCGATAAAAAACCGAATAAGTATAATATTTTCTAAATTGAAAATTAAATCAGTCAAACACATTTAATTAATAATTTTCGTATAAATAAATTTTAGGTAATTGATTTACATATAATTTATTTGCTTTCCATGCAAATTTCATGTTTGTAATCAAACACAACTTCAAGTCTTTGTTTAACTTACATTCTTAAACAGTAATTTAATATCATTCCAACATACATTTATCAATAAAATAATATTACATGTAAATTTAAAATTTTTACTTATTTTTAACTACACATTTTCTATGAATACACTATTCAAAAGCGCATTTTTATGAAAATTTAAACAAGGGCTTAGAATATTATTATAGTAAATTAAAATATACTTATTTTCATAAAAAATTACAAGTCTCATGAGAAAATCGAAGTCAGAAAATTCTTGACTAGATAGTCTCGAGTGAGGCCTAACTTTATTTTATTTTAAATATATTTAAATGTTTGTGTGCTACAATCTAGATTCATTACCAACATTTGACTAGAGTCAAATAAGTAAGAATTGGTCAATTGGTAGAATGAAAAATTGAACGCCCCTACAAATTGTCCAAGGGATAGAATTTTTTGAATAAAAAAGGTCAATAATTGATATAAAGCCAAAAATCTACGGAATTTTTTTTTTTTTTTTTTTTGTAATCAAATAAAAAAAAGGTCACAGGTTATGGAAGATCACTTGGTAGCACCTTTGAATAATTACAACTTAAGTTTGTCATTTTATCCAACAATTATAGACGGATTCAACGTTGAACCTGAAGCTCTAAGCTAGACTCACTATTCACAAGCTTCCACCCCACTGCCGAGTCATGTATCAGACAAAGAAGCAAAGGAGTCATGTATCATTTGCTATATGTAGGCCGGCTACAAGCTGTCACATGGGAGCACATGGACAAGTGAATAAAGTATGAACTAAAACTTAATGTGTTACAAGATAGCTAATAGGAGGTTGACACATGTCATTCCCTCAAAATGATCAAATTACCTCGACATTTGGAGGGAAATTTATAAATACCCTCTCATAGTAAAGAAGAGGGCATCCAATTCAACTATCCCCCTCTAAAATAGCTACTCCCAATGCGCACTCGAGGGGATTTAACCTCATTCCATACCTGCGGAGAATTTGGAAGATCTTCTCCAAATGCAGGATGTGGTAATCAACTTTCAAACTTTTTGCAAGCATGTCGTCCACATAAACCTCTGTTGTTTTGTCTAGGAGGTTGGCAAACATTTTGTTTACAAGTCTCTGGTAGGTGGCTCCAACATTTTTCAACCTGAAGGGCATCACCTTATAGCAGTCCAAGCCTCGGTCTGTGATGAAGGAAATATGCTCTTCATCTGCAAGGTTCATGGGGATTTGATTATATCCGGAGTAAGCATCCATGAAACTCAGTAATTCATGGCTAGTTGTGGAATCAACCAACTGATCTATTCGTGGGAGTGGGAAGCTGTCCTTTGGACAAGTCTGGTTCAAATTAGTGAAATCTATGCACACTCTCCACTTCCCATTGTACTTCTTGACTAGTATCGGGTTGGACACCCACTTTGGATAAACAGACTCCCTGACAAATTGGTTGGCAATCAACCTTTGCACCTCGTCTTTTAAGGCTTCATACCTCTTTGGATTTAAGGTTCTTCTCTTTTGTCGACGAGGACTTTTGTTGGGGTTGATCTTTAAGTGATGGTAACTGACCTTCGGATCTATCCCAACCATATCTTCATGTTTCCATGCAAACACATCCAAGTCACTTCTAGGAAATCCTGCAGCCTCTCTTTCAGGGCTGGGGATAAGCTCTTGCCGACCTATAAGTACTTGGGTGAGGTTGGAGAGCCTATTTCGAAGTTTTCAGTTCCTCCATAAAGTTGTATGGGGTTCAGCCTCAAGCATGCGGGGATCTATTTCGTCAACCTGGGGGACTTCTACAGACTCCATTTCTTTTTTAGGGACATTATGAATCTCCATGGCTTCTTCAGAGGCATCAACCATATCGATGTCCTCCCCTTGTGTAGGGTCAATGATCTCATCGATTTCCTTTAATTTAACGTTAATGCTTGGTGGATTAATTTTTCGTACAGAGCTAGAATAACATTCTTTGGTGCTCCGTTGGTTGCCTCTGATAGTAGCAAGACCCCATTCTGTGGGAAACTTCATGCAAAGATGGTAAATAGAGGTTACTGCCCATAACTCTTTCAAGGCAGGTCTCCCTAATACTATATGATATGCTGAATGATGATCCACTACTAAAAATTCCATGAAATTGTGGGCCATGAGGGGGCGCCACTCCCATTTTTGTTGCCAAGGTGATTTTTCCCCTGGGGAGGATACTGTCTCTTGTGAATCCGTAGAGTGAAAAATTCACCGGTGCTAGCTAATTGTCTACCTCCATTTTGTCATAGATGGATTCGTATATTATATTGATCGAGCTCCCATTGTCTACCAACATCCTTTTGAGGCCATTTTTGGCCACCACCGCCCTAACAACCAGGGCGTTACAGTGAGGATAATAGACCTCTATAGCATCGTTTTCTTAACGTTCGTTCCTCATTTGGTTGGATGGGTGTCTGGCTAGGTCCTAACATCCTACTGTACAGTAGGATTGATGATAGGTGCAATATGAAAAGGCTTCATTCCTATTCCTAGGTCGAGCACTTCGTGCTCTTCCTCTTCATTCCTGGAAGGGTCGTTGAGGTACTCTCTCCTGATATACCTCGATGTTGGGGTTCACTTTCTCGTAAGCAAAAATTGGGACAACATTGAGCATTGCTGTCGCTAGCGCCTGACTCGGATTAAGGAAGTTAGATGGTCCAGCTTTTCCTCTTTACATATGCAGAGGTGGAAGCTCTTGGTTTTTCTTGTTCGATATCCTTCAATTCCTTATTGATGATCTCTCATCATATCATTTCTAACAGTGCGTCATAACTAGTGGGGTCTTTATTCTACACATCTCTCCATAAGAAGAAATTCGTGTCTAATCCTCCCCTTAAGGTGGTCAGTGCTTCTTTATCTGTGACCTGTACATAATAGGTCATCTCATCAGTAAAGCAGGTCAGAAAGCTCTTCAGTGACTCCAGTGGTTGCTGCCTCATATCCTGCAACCGCTGAATTGGTTATTCAACTTCCTTGCTCGTGGCAAAACATTTCAAAAAAGCCTTCTTAAAGTCTGACCAACTTTGTATGCGTCCGGCCTCTAGTCTAGTGTACCACACTTTAGCTGCCCTGCCAAACGATAAGTGGAAGGCTCTATACTTCATTGCTGATGTGGTACCCTTAAGCCCCATATGGGTTTTGAAGTTGTTATGGTGTTTTGGCAAGGTCTCTTCTCTCACCATACGTAGGTATCTTAGGCAGTGTGAAGTGGTTTAGCATTGAAGCATTTCTAATTTCTTGTGAAAATGACAAGTTGTCATCATCATCGTCATCGTCTAGGTTTCAAGACCTCTGTGTTTCGTCGAAATTACCTTCTCCTATATTGCGGGCTTCCATAGGCGGTTGAGATTGTTCCGCTCGCTGCCCTACCTGTTTTGCAATCCTTTCTCGCCTATTTCTAGGCAAGGGTTGGCATTCCCTCCCATAGGATTATTGGGAACTTTCAACCGAGGCATTTCTTGCTGCCTGTTCTTAAGCACCGAACATTGGTTACGCCTATTGCTAGGCTGTCCTTGGCTTAGTTTGTCAAAAACACTTACTAATTTTCTAGCCGAATTTCCTGGGTTGTATTCTAGTAGAAAATTGAGAGGGACTTTGGCATATTGGTTTGAAGCATAATTTGTTGAGTTATCTATTCCCACTTCTCTCTCTTGAGGGTCATCTTGGATATTGCTGATATTCGGTTCCTTGGCTATGAACCTCATCGTCACCTCCATAGTAATTGCTTTTTAGGGAAGTATTCCCAAGGAGGAGCATATGGTGGGATTGGATTCCCTCAGCTTTCCATGCTCCTTAGTAGCTCATGCATAGCAAGGTTTTGCTGAATAATATTTCTCATATTCTCAGTCATAGTTGCGAAGTTCCTAGTGAGCCTAACGGTCAATCTAGAACCTCCCCGAGTCCTACCGCATGAACCACCTGGTCTACTTGATTGTTGAAATTGATGGCCGGATGTTGGGGCAGTGTGTGAGGGTTCTCTTTCTTCAGGATGTTATCCTGTTCTTCGAGGAGCAGATTTTTCTTCGCTAGTACTTATGCTATTTTTCCAAATTTTTTTTCGTGTACGAATGCTGGTACATGCATTGCACCCTCTTACCTAAGGATGTTTCCTTGTTCTCAAAGGTTCTCTTTCTTGGCCTTTTCTAAAAACTCTAATTTTCTTACTTTATCTACGGGATTTTCGTAGTTTAGCTGTTTCAAACTTTCCACGGACAGTGTTAATCTGTTGACCTCCAAAAATGGCCAAAGGTGTCGTCAGGAGAGAGTGTACCCGTGGATGTATTTCACAGTACTTAATCTGTAAATAGTATAGTGTATTCATAGAAGAGGATGAATAAAGTATATTGTATTCCTTCTTTTTATAATTTCCAGAGTCCCTGTAAATAATAATCAGACTGACGTGATCACTGTTGGATTGGATTCACGTAGCTTGATCTGCCGACCCTTAGTATCACATCAACTCTATTACATATTAATTACATTGATATACTTTTGACAAGAGGTCGGCCATCCTATAAACGTAGGCTAACATTTTTTACACTCATTAATTGCGTACGTCACATCAGTCA